GCTTGCTCTGGTTATCGTGTTTGGTTGGTGTGGGGTGGTAGGGGTTCAGTAGATGTTGTGGGCGGTTGTGTTTGCTGGTCCCTTCGAGGCTGTGCTCCCTTGTCTCTTGGTACCTGCCACCTTCCCTTCCTGCCCCTGCCACCTTACTCTTTCTCTCAGTTATTCCCTTTTTTTGTGTGTTCTGTGGTGGTTGAGATGAACTCATTGGTACTTTTGGGAACCCTTTAACAAAGGTTTCCACTGAAGGATTTTGTTTCATATTGTTTCTGTTGCAAATGTCAGTACGAGTACCACCCAAGTCTCTAAAAAAATTCAGTTGAATAGCGTCCTCTCTTGTTACTGCAGTGATGTTGTCAATCTCTTTAATCTCTTCCTGTCTTCTTTAGTCATAGGTCTTCCCTTCTGCCTCATGGATTCCCATGAATAAAGATTCTCCTCTCACTGTCCTCATCCCATTTTGTTTCCCTCCATATCCCTGGGTCCGATTTAAGTTTCTCATTGGTTGTCTCCCTTTCCATCTCCCAGATGTCCCTGAGGCTTGGTATTGTTTCTTCAAGGGACTTCTTTGCACCTTTCCCTCCTTCAACCCCCGCACTGTTCACTGTTGTTCCTTCACCCAGCTCCTTGCTCCTGTCGGTCCTTGCCTCTATATTCATCTTAAGCACTTCTATTTCCTCTGCAGAGCAAGAGTTTGTGACTCCCACTTCTTAATCTCTGTAGATATCTTCTTGACCATTGTGTTGCAAAACTCGCTTAAGCTTTGTTCCCACTTCCGTTCCATTGTGCTCATGACTTTTTCTGCCAATGCTTCTTGTTCAGCCCAGCCATCCCGAGTACCCCTGTTTCTTCGTCCTGACATATGTGTATGTGTGTGGGATGTTAGTGTGTATTTGGGTGGGGTGGGCATTAGCATTTGTGTGTGTGTGCTCACCTATTTGTGGTTGCAAGGGTTGGCACTCAGCTCCTGTGTGTGTGTGTGTGTGTGTGTTTGTGTACTCACCTATTTGAACTCACCTTTTTGTGGTTGCAGGGGTCGAGACAGCTACTGGCCCCGCCTCTTCACTGATCGCTACTAAGTCCTCTCTCTCCCTGCTCCCTGAGCTTTATCATACCTCTACATCACTTGGAAGATTGTACCATTTCCTGACAACTCTATGATTAAAGAAATACTTCCTAACATTTCTTTGACTCAACTGAGTCTTAAAGTTCCAATTGTGACCCCTCGTTTCTGTGTCCCATCTGTGGAACATCCTGTCTCTCTCCACATTATCTATTCCTCTAAGTATTTTGTATGTCGTTATCATGTCTCCCCTAACCCTCCTGTCCTCCAGTGTTGTCAGGCCGATATCCCTTAACCTTTCTTCGTATGACATTCTCCTTAGCTTTGGAACTTGCTTTGTTGCAAACCTTTGCATTGTCTCTAATTTCTTGACGTGCTTGACCAGGTGTGGGTTCCAAACTGGTGCTGCATACTCCAGTATGGGCCTGACGTGCACAATGTACAGAGTCTTGAACGATTCCTTACTTAGGTATCGGAACGCTATTCCCAGGTTTGCCAGGCGCCCATTTGCCGCAGCAGTTATCTGGTTGACGTGCGCTTCAGGGGATGTGCTCGGAATTATACTCAACCCAAGGTCCTATTCCTTGAGTGAGGTTTGCAGTCTTTGGCCACCTAGCCTATACTCGGTATGCGGTTTTCTTTCCCCTCTTCCGATCTTCATGACTTTACATTTAGCGGGGTTAAATTCGAGTAGCCAGTTGCTGGACCAAGCGTCCAGCCTGTCCAGGTCTCTTTGTAGTCCTGCCTGATCCTCATCTGATTTAATTCTCATTAACTTCACATCATCTGCAAACAGGGATGCTTCCGAGTCTAACCCTTCCATCATGTCATTCACGTATACTAAAAATACCATTGGTCCTAGGACTGACCCCTGTGGAACCCCGCTCGTCACTGGCGCCCACTCTGATACCTCGTCACGTGACTCGATGTTGCCTTCTTGTCAAGTATTCTCTGATCCATTGCAGTGCCCTTCCCGTTATACGAGCCTGATCCTCTAGCTTTTGCACTAATTTCTTGTGAGGAACTCTGTGTGTGATAATGTATGTGTGTGTGCCCCCGCAACTTCACTGGTGGTAGTGTTAGTGAGTGCGTGTGTGTGTGTGGATGTACTCAACTAGTTGTACTCATCTAGTTGTGGTTGCAGGGATCGATTCGCAGCTTTTGGCCCCTCCTCTTTACTGGTCGCTACTAGATCTCTCATCCTGCTCCATTAGCTTTATCAAACCTCTTCTTAAAGCTATGTATGGATCCTGCCTCCACTACATCATTTCCCAGAGTATTCCACTTCCTGACAACTCTGTGACTGAAGAAATACTACCTAACATCCCTGTGATTCATCTGAGTCTTCAACTTCCAACTGTGACCCCTTGTTGTTGTGTCCCATCTCTGGAACATCCTGTCTCTGTCCACCTTGTGGATTCCTCTCAGTATTTTTTTATGTCGTTGTCATATCCCCCCTATCTCTCCTGTCCTCCAGTGTCGTCAGGTCGATTTCCCTTAACCTCTCCTCGCAGGACATACCCCTTAGCTCCGAGACTTGTCTTGTTGCAAACATTTGCACTTTCTCTAGTTTCTGTAAGTGCTTAGCTAGTGTGTGTATTTACTCACCTACTTGTATTCGTCTATTTGTGGTTGCAGGGGTCGATTCATAGCTCCTGTGTGTGAATGTGTGTGTGTGTGTGTGTGTGTGTGTGTGTCGATTCCTCTCTGTTTTTTGTATGTTGCTATCATATCCTCCCTATCTCTCATGTTCTCCAGTGTCGTTAAGCTCCCTGTACCCTGTACTATAGGGTACAGGGACTAATGGAAGTAAGTCACTCTGTACGACTTTTTTGGGTTATCCAAGGTTCTGTACACATATGCTGCTATATATGATAATCTATGTAACTATTTATGTATACCAAAATAAACTTTCTTACCCGAGCGCATGTGGCATCGTAAATAAGTTTATTCAGGTATACACAAATACAGTTACATAGATTATCATATATAGCAGCATATGTGTAGAGAACCTGGGATAATCCAGAAAAGTCAAAGTGACTTATTTCCACTGGGGTCTTTTGTTACCTAATTAATAATATTACATTAATATAAAAATCAAATGTGGCAGATAAGAAATTATATAAAAAATGACTCATGCAACAAATTATATACAATATTGAATAAAGGATGATAAAGATAGAATAAGTAGACCACAAGAATTATGTCAATATAAAAAAATGAAGAATACTAAATTATAATAAATATCACTCTGAAAATTAATTATCAGTCTGCTGGAATACAATGAAAAATAGAAGACAATGAATATATATCAGAAATTAATAATCATGTCCAAGGAATGCATTTATTGCCCTAATAACAGATGTTGGTAGGAACTTGCCCCTCCTTGGTGGGACAACCAGACAGACATTGCAAACAGCAGTAGGTTGTGCCAAGATCCGTTGTTTGCAGGAGCATCATTGACTTTCTTCAAGAGGTCAGTGAATTTGCTAGCCGATTGAGGGCGAGCTGCTTTGTGGATGTGTGTCAGCGTCCTGCTGGATGTTAATATGACTACAGATTTTAGTTCCTGTGTAGAGGTGAAGTCACGATAGCTGTCAGCTCTTTCTGGTGGGAGGGGCTGTTGGTTGTTCCCACTTGGAGCTCTCTGGGAGCTTAGACATCCATTGTGTGCACGGATGTTGAGATTTGAGGGACTGAGTGCACGCTCCCTGTGGCACACCTGACAGTTTCCTCTTGGTCGAATTCCACCTCACTGGCTCTGTAGTGGAAGTCCCTGGGATCCTGGCACATCTTGTGACATTGCTGACATCGTGGGAGTGGGAGGGGGCTAGCGTGGTGGCCTGGTGGGGCTTGAGGGGCTGGGAGGGGAAAAGTGCCCTCTACAGTTGGGGTGTCACTGTACACTACACACAGGGCAAGCCCGGGGAGAGGAATGAGGGGCAGCCACTGTATACTACACACGGATTGCACATTGTTGTTCACGTTGTCTTGCTTACAAGTCGGAGGATCTCACTTTCAAAGGCCACAACAACATTGTATCAATCGCATCTGCTAGAAAGAAAAATGACAGGATGGATAATGAGAACCTTCAGAGCTAGGAATGCCAAGCCCATGATGGCACTCTTCAGGTCGTTTGCTCTATCTAGGCTGGAATATTACTACACATTAACAGCACCTTTCAAGGCAGGTGAAATTGGTGACCTAGAAAATGTACAGAGAATCTTCACAGCACACATTACTGCGATAAAACACCTCATGTACTGGGAACACTTGAAGTTCCTGAACCTGGACTCCCTAGAACGCAGGCGGGAGAGATACATGATTATATATATACACTTGGAAAATCCTAGAGGGATTAGTACTAAACGTGCACACGAAAATCACTCCCTACGAAAGCAAAAGACTCGGCAGACGATGTAACATCCCAGCAATGAAAAGCAGGGGTGTCACTAGCACGATAAGAAATAACACAATAAGTGTCAGAGGCCCAAGACTGTTCAACCGCCTCCTAGCATACATAAGAGGGATTACCAATAGACCCCTGGCTGTCTTCAAGAAGGCGCTGGACAGGCACCTAGAGTCAGTACCTGACCAGCCGGGCTGTGGTTCGTACGTCGGGTTGCGTGCGGCCAACAGTGACAGCCTAGTTAATCAGGCCCTGATCCACCATGAAGTCTGGTCACAGACCGGGGCGCGGGGGCGTTGACCCGCGAAACCCTCTCCAGGTATACTCCAGGTATGTGACTGCTTAAAACCAGTGTGTTTCTCATTTTCACCTACACACCCTGCCTCTTCCCCCTCCCCCGTGGCGTGTGGGAGGAGGCACTGATTGGTCCCGACCTCGTTACTCTCAACACCACATGCTTCCCATATGCTTCCATATTCCTATAATTATTCTATGCATCAACACGTATGTATTTTTAAGTTAACTGAAAGAATGGAGCCTGTGCTGGAGGTAAATGTGTTTATGCAGGCCTTTCGAGGTTTGTATATACGTGGCTGGTACCCACCCACAGTGGGCCCGTGGCAGTCTTCCCCACTACCACCACTCAACAACCTTCACAAAATGCGCAACACTTCCACTATTTAAGTTGAAACGATACACTGGAATGTCTTCTCGCTGCACTGGAATCTTCCCACAGTCTTCACACTGAGTCTTGTTCAGTCTTGACCTGGTCAGCCTCTTTGATCAGGAGATATCCTTAAAAATCCTACAACTAGCCCGCCACACGCCCTGCCACACCAGCCAACCTCGCGGGGAAGGTAGGCAGATGGATATTCGGGTTCCTAACACACAAAATACAAAAAGTAGTAGTAAACAGAGCAAGATCTAGCATCAGCCAGGCTAAAAGGTCAGTGCCTCAAGGCACTGTCCTGTCCACACACACACACAAACTACAAAAGGGGGGACTACACAGGTATGAGGAACTTCCTGCTGGAGGTCCATTGGTAAAGAGAATTCGTAGAAAAGTCTGAAAACGAAATGACAGACTACGTAACAACAAAATGCAAGGAGGCAGAGGAAAGGTTTGTTCCCAAGGACAACAGAAATAATGAGAAGACCAGAACGAGCCCTTGGTTTACCCAAAGGTGTAGGGAGGTAAAAACTAAGTGAGCTAGAGAATGGAAAAAGTACAGAGGACAAAGAACCCAGGAAAATAAAGAACAAGAAACGAATATATACAGATAAGGAAGGAGGCCCAGTGACAGTACGGAAACGACATACCATCAAAAGTCAAGTCTGACCCAAAGCTTTTGTATAGCCACATCAGAAGGAAGACAACAGTCAAAAACCAGGTAATGAGACTGAGAAAAGAAGGTGGAGAGCTCACAAGAAATGACCAAGAAGCATGTGAGGGGCTCAACATGAGATTTAAGGAAGTATTTACAGTGGAGACAGTAAGGACTCTGGGAAGTCAGAATAGCGGGGTACACCAACAAAGGATATACCAACAAGTGTTGGATGAAATACACACAACCGAGGAGGAGGTGAAGAAGCTGCTAAGTGATATTGATACCTCAAAGGCGGTGGGACCGGACAACATCTCTCCCCGGGTCCTTAGAGAGGGAGCAGAGATGCTGTGTGTGCCACTAACAATAATTTTCAAAACATCTGTTGAAACTGGGCAACTACCTGAGGTATGGAAGACTGCAAATGTAGTCCCCATTTTTAAGAAAGGAGACAGACACAAAGCACTGTGTCGAAGGCCTTCTTGAAGTCCAAGAAAATGCAATCTACCCACCCCTCTCTCTCTCTTATCATAATTCTGTGGCCTTGTCATAAAACACCAGTGTCACTGATGTGTATACTATGCAAAGTCATGGAGAACATTATCATCAGGAGAGTCGTGAAGCACCTAGAACGGAACAAACTTGTAAACGACGACCAGCACGGATTAATTGAAGGCAAATTCTGCATCACAAACCTACTGGTGTTTTATGACAAGGTCACAGAAATAAGATAAGAGAGAGAGGGGTGGGTAGATTGCATTTTCTTGGACTGCAAGAAGGCCTTCGACACACAGTTCATCACAAGAGATTATTGCAAAAGCTAGAAGATCAGGCACATATAACAGGAAGGACACTGCAATAGATCAGAGAATACCTGACAGGGAGGCAACAGCGAGTCACGTGACGAGGTATCAGAGTGGGCGCCTGTGACGTGCAGGATTCCACAGGGGTCATTCCTAGGACCAGTGCTATTTTTGGTATATGTGAATGACATAACGGAAGGGATAGGCTCAGAAGTGTCCCTGTTTGCTGATTATGTTAAGTTAATGAGGAGAATTAAATCGAATGAGGATCAGGCAGGACTACAAAGAGACCTGGACAGGCTGGAAGCTTGGTCCAGCAACTGACTCCTCGAATTTAACCCCGCTAAATGCAAAGTCATGAAGATCGAGGAAGGGCAAAGAAGACCGTAGACAGAGTATAGTCTAGGTGGCCAAGGACTGCAAACCTCACTCAGGGAAAAGGATCTTGGGGTGAGTATAATTCCGAGAACATCTAAAGTTCTCATCAACCAGATAACTGCTGCAAAATATGGGCTCCTGCAAACCTGAGAATAGCGTTCCGATATCTCAGTAAGGAATCGTTCAAGACTGTACACTGTGTACGTCAGGCCCATACTAGAGTATGCAACACCAGTGTGGAACCCACACTTATTCAAGCAAGTCAAGAAATTAGAGAAGGTGCAAAGGTTTGCAACAAGGCTAGTTCCAGTGCTAAGGGAAATGTCCAATGAAGAAAGATTAAGGGAAATCGACCTGATGACACTGGAGGACAGGAGAGTTAGAGGAGACATGATAACGACATACAAAATACTGCGAGGAATTGACAAGGCGGACAGAGACAAGATGTTCAAGAGATGGAACACAGAAACAAGAGGTCACCATTGGAATCTGAAAATTCATATGAGTCAGAGGGATGTTATTAAGTATTTCTTTAGTCATAGAGTTGTCAGGAAGTGGAATAGTCTGGCAAGTGACGTAGTGGAGGCAGGAACCATACATAATTTTAAGACGAGGTATAATAAAGCTCATGGAGCACAGAGAGAGAGGGCCTAGTAACGATCAGTGAAGAGAAGGGGCCAGGAGATATCTCTCGACCCCTGCAACCACAAATAGGTGAGTACACACACACACACACACACACACACATACACACAGGACAGGGCGAGACGTATGAACAAGTTTCCATGTATCCGGTGCCCTTGTTCACCTAGCAGTAAGTAGGTACCCGGGTTTGAGTCGACTGTTGTGGATCACTTCCTGAGAAACAGTCAAATGTTGCAACATCTGAGAGACTAATCGCTCCAATGAAGTAAACTTTTAAGTCTGTATCAGTGTGAAATAGAATAGGTGAGTACACACTTATTAAACACAATGATTCTAAGTTCTTTAATATATTCAATAATTATGTTTTCGTTGCAGTGTTTCAGTAAAGAGGATGACGAGTATATGGTGGATGGTGTTTCCATTGTCTGTTGTTGTGTGTTGGGGAGATGTGCAGATACCAGCACCTGTTGGTAGGTCATATAATGTACTTGTATATGTAAGTTGTGTAGATACCAGCACCTGTTGGTAGGTCATACAATGTACTTGTATATGTAAGTTGTGTAGATACCAGCACCTGTTGGTAGGTAATACAATGTACTTGTATATGTAAGTTGTGTAGATACCAGCACCTGTTGGTAGGTCATACAATGTACTTGTATATGTAAGTTGTGTAGATACCAGCACCTGTTGGTAGGTAATACAATGTACTTGTATATGTAAGTTGTGTAGATACCAACACCTGTTGGTAGGTCATACAATGTACTTGTATATGTAAGTTGTGTAGATACCAACACCTGTTGGTAGGTCATATAATGTACTTGTATATGTAAGTTGTGTAGATACCAGCACCTGTTGGTAGGTCATATAATGTACTTGTATATGTAAGTTGTGTAGATACCAGCACCTGTTGGTAGGTAATACAATGTACTTGTATATGTAAGTTGTGAAGATACCAGCACCTGTTGGTAGGTAATACAATGTACTTGTATATGTAAGTTCTGTAGATACCAGCACCTGTTCGTAGGTCATATAATGTACTTGTATATGTAAGTTGTGTAGATACCAGCACCTGTTGGTAGGTCATACAATGTACTTGTATATGTAAGTTGTGCAGATACCAGCACCTGTTGGTAGGTCATACAATGTACTTGTATATGTAAGTTCAATGTGAATATATATGTATATATATAAATATATATATATATATTATATATATATATATATATATATATATATTTTATATATATATATATATTATATATATATATATATATATATATATGTATATGTATATATTATATTATATATATATATATATATATATATATATATATATATATATATATATATATATATATATATATACCTCTAGAACTGGAATGGGATCCTCATCCTCAGAGAAGACAATAAACGTACCTCAGGGAAAACTCAAGGTTCTCCCCGGAGCTGTTTGAATATTTTCTTCTCCTATCACTCCTATATTTTTAAGATTCATGTGAACTTTATTAATAGACAGAATTCATTGATAGAAAACACAAACATGAATATATTGGTACAATATATCAAAGGTTATGAACCTCCTCCAGCTCCCTCGAAGCCGGACGCGAGCCCAGTATGCAGCATGCATTTCCCCTCTGGATGGTCACGCTGAGGCGCTGGAACATAAAAGTGGCTGCCCTTGGGTCCCTGGTGGTGTCGATGAGTCTGGAACCCAGTTCTTTAAGGAAACGTGTGGCATGTTTTTCCCATGATCCCAAGGTCTCTGATCCCACTGGGACAAATTGATATTGTTGGCTTATGTCCCTGTACTTGCTGATCTTCTTCTCCTCCTTGTGGTCAGCAGCTCCTCCCTGTCGCCCCACACTGTGATGGATATAGGTGTTAGCCAGTGTGGACACACAGGTATAGTCCCATACTAAGAGCTTGCCATTCTTCCAAGGGTAGATGGTGATCCCGTCGGGGCGGTTTGCTGGGTTGTGGGCATTGTTGGCTGCTAGTGATCGGGGCTCCCTCTCAGCCTGGCATGGAGCTGTAGCAAGGGTTCTCTTTATGATGTCGTTGACCCCATTGTGTCTTGCATGCCAGCCCTTAGTTTTGGAACAGTTAAGACCATGTAGACCATAATGGTCGGTTTGCGCATCGCCGCAAATACACGTATATTCCGTGTGAATTTTGGCAGCAAGGCGCAGAGCCACTGCAATACAAGGGGTCTTAGGGTCGAGGCGTGTTGCCATTGCCAATATGGGAACTGGTTGAAGGAGGTCCCCAGAGTAATGTGCACTCACAGCGTGGAGATGGGCAGTCTCCCTGTCTAATGTTACAGCCCTAAGCATGTTGGCAAGGACCTTTTCAGCGATAGAGCCATCCCAACTTGACTGTAGGCCAGAGCTGCACTAAGTTTTGGTGCTGGAGCAGCAAGAGTCTCTCCTTTTCAGTGATGACACTGGCGTAGCTTGGGTCCTGTATTCATGCTGAGTCACTGAGGTTGTCCGGAAGAATTTGTTTTATTAACTCATTTGATGCTATGGAAGAGGATAAGGAAGCACCTTTCTAATATTTTCTCTTATGTTTAAAAATATATTTTTTTTTCATTTATGTTAATGTACGTGTTTACCTCTTGAGGTCACACGACTTTGTAACACTGACATATATATTCAGTAGAATCACAAGAAACACGATATTTCAATATGCAATATACCTATAGTGAGGAAATAGTTCATGCGCTTTTGTTATCTCACTTTCTCAAAGAATATTAAAAGTAATGAAGCAATAAGCGTCTCTAGCAGAGAAACACCTAGTACAGCGGCACTTGTCCAGTAGGTGGGGCGTTGCCTCACTCTAAGCATGAGCCAATGTGCGTGTGGCAGTACATCTCCCTGTTATGATACTTGTCAGACACAGCAACACCACGGAATCTTGGTATAGAGGTGCAGCGCTGTGTAACCCTTGTGGTTGAGCGCTTAGCTTTGATTATAGTAATAACTGAAACAGAGGACGCATCCACAGCTTACTGCCTCCTGCCTGACTCATGAACATGATGTACTTCCACTGAGGATCCAGTGACAATGCATTCATCTGCTGGAACTCTTCTGACTTCGGGATATAAGCCAATTTCTTCCTGCCTGTACATCAGAGTCATCGAGACTACGGTAATGGACACCTACTGCTAGGCTGAGGGACTGATTACCACAATTTCTACGTCTTCAGTCTTCAGCTTTTGTCCTGTATTGTATTGTATGATTAGCAAAGCGACTACATAGTAAAGATACCCACTTGCTGCACGTGTCTTAATTTTTCATCTTGTCGGTATTATTTAGGGCTTTGTTATGATTATAATAACAATTCTCGGTATTATATTACATTGATGTTATGAGCACATCTTTTTAGCCTCTTTTATGAAAGTTTACTAGTAACATGACACGTAAATGTAAACTTGTCTACACAACTTATAATCCTCACAAACTTTATGTATTATGTATGCAAGTTTAAATTGTTTATAACCAGTGAGATCATAAAAGTCTCTCTCATGGATGAACAAATCATTAGACTTGTCCAGTTTTAATGCTGTTTATACAGCTGTAATCTCACTTTTTTCCAGTGTTTACAATAAAACCTTCGAGACACAGCTATCAGCATTTTAGAGGGATTCTTAATCAAATTGTTTATTGATATAACAACATAAGAATGGAGGACTACTACAGCAAGAGTTTTAAATAAACTGAGTTTAAATTTCATAAAGAACTATGGAATTTCAAGGAAATATACATATGGCAGTACCAGTATAGTCTTGGTTGAGTATAGTTAGTTATCCTTTTCTGGTCTGTTATATGTGTTTTAGCAATTTTCAAAGATCAGAAACCCTCATAAAACTATTAAGTATTAATAATGGATAGAAGTCATTTTTTGACATGTTATATTGCACAACGTAATTTTAATAATTGTTTAATTGTTGTTATAAGTAGCTTCTTAACTATTGGCTTATTATTGTTTATAAATTAGTTATATTAACAGCAAGTTAATGCTCCAAATTGAGTTGGTGTCCCACCGGCCTAGAGCTGGAGGAAGTCGAACTTAAACCAGTATGTGTATAGATTTTTTCTTGCATGCCCACCAAATTTACGACGACGTTCATTTTTGTAATGCTTATTCGTCCTTCCGTGAACTCCGCAGTCGGTCCCACATACCCAGTAATTTAACAAAGAAGAATTCTTTGAGTGACTGATGTACCTGACACATGAAGAAGAGTATATCTATGATGAATTAAATTGTGGGAACATTGTGTGGAAAATCTCGCTTGATTTCCAAGACTGTTAAAACCTTCCCCCAGTTGGAGAGCAGACGTGGATCCCCACCATGTCTATGGGGGTGCCACATTTCTTTACTCTTAATTTGTAAGACTTAATCTGCAATGAAGCCCACATGCTATTGCATTATATCGTACTAATTATACGTATTTAAACTAAGAGTTAGAAATATTAACTTAGCATAGTAACTACACTACCTACACATTAATATGGGAGTAGACACCATGAGTGCCCACGGAGTATGCAGCACTCCTACCATAGTGAGCCGCGGGCGACATACCCGTACGATGGGCCTTGTGTAAAGGTTATATCTAGCTATTCCACGTGACGGTAGCAATGACTCGCCCAGGTATCTAGACGTACGACCCACATCACACCTCCAGGTAAGTACTCTCTACTGTATTAAATACACATTTGTACATTGGGGTTACATAGGGGTTAGCTACCTACCTTCACCAAAGACCTACAGCTGACACCGTGTATCACATCACACGACCAGTTTGAGACTCGAGGTATTTATGTAGTAATTCAGTAACTAGAATGGGGTGGCAGGTTCTAGTCTGGATTCCACAATGACTGGACATGCATTACTAACCTAATCAGTCATAAACCCACGGACACCCTCTATTCTACATAACAGTGTGACGAGATTTATGGATGACTTTATTGCTGGAGTACAGTGAAGGGCCAGTATTCAGCTTGATTCCTGCTGAATACCTCCTTTCTAAGTCCCCTAGAGGTATAGGTAAGCTTGGATCTAGTCTAGCCTGTCAGGGTAGGTTAGGTCAGACTAGGTGGAGCAACGCTTGCCACACAACACCTGGTAACAACACTTCGGTGAATATTAATATTAGACAATCCACTTTTCAATTTTATTTAATTTTCAAATTATTTCCACGAATTGTGGAAATAGGCATAAACAAATCTTAAATTAGGGTTCCTTGTGAAATGTACCATTTCAGAGGGACAGTCGAGAGACATGTATGAGAGACGACTTGTCAATCCACTCGGAAGTTAGTACAAAATTTACGGTGTCTACATAATCCAATTATTTACAATAGTCTCATCATGATTTCACTAGTCATTCATAACGGTTGTGATGGGCGTGATGAATGGTTTGAGAAACCGACAGGTTGAAGATTGAGACACTTATGCAGCATATGGGAATCTTTATTCAGGAAACGTTTCGCCACACAGTGGCTTCATCAGTCCAATACAAAGAGGAAGGCGTAAGGAGAGGAGGAGAATGAGGTAATCAGTCCCTCAACCTGGAGTCGATGTGTTCAGTCCATCAATCTTGTAGAATGTAGATTGATGGACTGAACACATCGACTCCAGGTTGAGGGACTGATTACCTCATTCTCCTCCTCTCCTTACGCCTTCCTCTTTGTATTGGACTGATGAAGCCACTGTGTGGCGAAACGTTTCCTGAATAAAGATTCCCATATGCTGCAAAAGGTTGTGATGGGCCTTGAGCTAGAGTATGTCACAGTCATGTTGGTGTGAGATTCATCTGCAGAAGTCCGCTTTTGTAGTCATGGTGTGGCCCATATATAGTAGTACACAGCTGGTATAGTAATCTGCTAGTTTTAGAACCAGCTTACCATGGGGTTAAAACCGTCATTATGGTGAGTTGATCTAGGATGATGTAGATGTTATGTGAGAGGTGAACGAATTACTAATCTAAATAATGGCGACTAGATACCTGCATTAATTCAGAATTAAATGCAGATGTTGATTATTATTTTTATTATTATTATTTTTATTCATGGGGAGCACTAAACCCATCAGGGTCATACAGCACCTGGGGAAATGGAAGGTATTTAGAGTAAATTCAAGGAATATGAACACAGGTCCAATTCCTATGATCAAGAGCCCCTCGACAACATCAAGGACGCAGATGCTGTACGTTTAAAAAACAAAATATTGCTTGAAGAGAATTCGACTTGTTTGATCATTCCAACGTAAATATAAAGATTCGTCTCGACTCTAAAGTAATTTTTAAATGACCTCCCGCTTCTCTTCCCGACAATCAGGTGGCAATTAACGAGATTGTCATTTCTTGATTTCAAACCACATAATAACAAAACTGAGAATTTAAACTTCATTTTCCATCAGGTAAACAGGATGTGAAGTGGTCCATGATGCGCCTGCAGCAGACTGGTCTCTCAACACAGGTGATGGAGGCTTGGCTGGTCACACAGGTGGTGGAGGCTGTGTTGACCTCAACACAACATGGCAGCTACTCTGTAATTTTCATTACGGACGGCACTACCTCACCCTCCACTATCTTCATGGTAAGTGTCGTTGCTTTCTTATATAACATGAGTGTTGAAATAATTTCAGAATAATTTCAATAGTTGTAAGATTATATCTCACGTAACATTACAAACTTGTAACAAAAGATTGTTTATAATAACGAGACCACAACATTGAGCTATATTATTAATGCATAATAACAAGCTAATTATATATTAATTATTTAATACGCCGATACTTATAAGAAGTAGAACCACGCATGCAATAAATAATTGTAGTTATTCAAATTGTCTCACCATTGAAAATCTCTCAAATAATTCATTGGAAAGGAAATTTTTTTGTGACTTATAATAAACGAAATAAAATATTTGTTGAAGTTTGCCTCATTCAGAAATTTATAATTAGCACTAAAAACGTTGACATTTAATACACAGTACAAACAAGATAAAGATAACTGAATCTAGAAACCTAAATTATTAAAATATAACTTCATGCTAAAAGTAAAGTGGAAAAAAAATGCTGATTACTCCCACAATGGGCCTAGCACCAAATAAACGGCCTGAGCTTGCTACCATCTGCAGCTCACAAGACTGCCATCCCCACGAGCCCCTTTGAGGCGGGGTAGATGGCAGACCAGAGGCCTAGCTTCTCCCTACGAGCCCCGTGAGGGCGGGGACTGTGGCTAGGCCTGGGGACACTTGGTCCCAAAGATGAGGGGGTACTTGTACCTCCTCCCATGGGAGACTTAAGTCTCGAGATACTCCCCAGATAGGGAGCCAAGGCCGGGTCACCACTACTTGGAAAAGACCCGGGCCGGGAGAGTACCGGCGAATAAGAAAAAAAAAACACCAAATAATCATTGGAGTTCTGTGTGATCATGACACTCAGAGTGTTACGCTTTATACTGCGTCTCACTCAGCTGGCTGGAGCCAGGTGGTTGCAGGTAGTCAAGGAAAAATGGGAAATTAACCTTAGGTCTGGGTAAACTCCAAAAATAAGAAAACTGCATCAAGCACTGTCTTGGTACAATTTATTTTTACATAGAAAAAACACAATAAGCATTTATCACCTTAAAGCTTATCTCTACAATGAACATTACTAATCAGCAGACGTGTGAAACTCTTTTCACATGTCTGCAACCACTGCAAAACGAGAGCAGATAAATGTTTACTCTACAATATATATAGTACACACGAGACAATACATGAGCAACAACAGTCTCTGTCGCCTTCACATAACAAATCACCAAAGTGAGCTTACTCACTCACATCAGGAGATTCTGCTTTTGACTCTCGCCCTGGCAGGTCATAGCAGCTCTCCTTACTTACTCTGTCTCCCTACGATCCCCGTTGGGGAGGGGAACCTTTACCAGCGTCGTCTTCGCCTTGACTTGCACGATGAGCTACGCAAATCGTGTAAAGATCAAGCCAAACAGTGGTACCGTTGATGATTCAACGAAGCTTGCTCTTGCCACTGTTGTGCAGAATGCATTGCAAGTGAAATTCAATGCTATTTTGTCACTGAAAGAAGCACTCATTGTTGTATGTCACGATGATGCTGAAGCAGAGAAGTTACTCACCACAGAAGCCACCACTACTCTTACTGCTCAAGGATTTACTGTTACATCCTCTCCTTCCCTCAGGGCAAGAAAATCAGTATTCCTAAAAAAACTGGACAAGATTCTGACTTCTCAATCAATTACTGAACTCAAGTCATCCATTGAAACGCAAAATACTTGGGCTACTGTTGATAACATTACCAAAATTCCGAATGCATCGTCTATGCTCAAGGTCACCTTCACCGACGTCAACATGGCTGCCACTGCTCTGAACGAAGGTCTTGCTGTTTACTACTACTACATCAGTCCCACCTACATAGAAGCAGAGAGATACCACTACATCCAACGTTACTGGAACTGTTATTCTTATCTTCACACCACCAAAGCATGTCCAGTAAAAGACAAGAAGTTCTGCACTACATGTGGTAGTGAGGGACACGCCTTCAGTTCCTGTACCGCTGCTGCTGCTCCAACACAACCAGCGTGTTTAAACTGCAAAAGTAATGATCACCATACACTAGCAGCAAAATGTCCTACAAGAAAGGATATTATGAAAAAACAAGATGCAACAAAGAAAAAATTACCAACAACACACCAGCGTATGCCGCAATTGCAAAGTTGCAAGCAGACACTACGAAATTACTTCAAGCCTCTCAACCCGCCTCCACCATCACTCCTCCAACATGTGACGTAACGAAGATCCACTATTGTCTGCTATACGCTCACATGCAGAACATGGCTGTACCTGGATCTTTTTACTCTACCATCAACGAGTTATTTGCATTAAATAACATGCCATCATTCACATTTCCAGCATCGCCACCTTCTGAAGAAATTCTCAAATTCACCAAAGACTTAGTCACAACCTCGGATGTAGCAGATCCAACACCACCATCAACTAGTGACGTCACTCCAACTACGTCCAATGAGAATCCTTCACCGCCACCACTCCTCATTGAAACCGACCAATCAGAAGCCTTGTCACCAGAAACATCTTCCTATTCGTCTACTGAAGATGACAACGAATATTCACTTCCTCCTTCAACAATACCTAACAAGAGAGAAAAAACAGCAAAAAAATCATCATCTCACAATTCTCGATATGATAAAGATGAAGATATTAAAAAATATACTTCATGGACTGGAATCAACTTCTACACTACAGAAAAATATCATCAAGACATGCCGCTTCATGAGCTTTATTCTCACCTCATCGAAAAGACAGTCAAGTTTACCATCGATTCTTCCTGCTCAGCTGGAACTCTTCGTACAATTGAACTTTCTACTATTCCAAAGGCCATTGTAGACCAACTAGAAGATTCCAGCCAAAAACACTTGCTGACACGTATAAATTTGCTCCCTCTACAACGTTTTAAACGTCTTGAAAACGGAACTGAATCGTAAAACAACGCCATGACTCCAGGTAAACACCAAACCTCTATGAACTGACCAATCAACGATGAGCTCTTTCCATACCGCCTGCAGCCGCCTATCATCATTCAAGTTGCAGTAATCATCCATCCAGCAAGATGCAGCCAGCACCTGCTGAGTTCCTGTTCCCTTCTACATCGTCTTCGTCAGTATTCCTGAAATACATCTCAGTCTACGCCTCCAGTACTTCGGTACCACATGTCCCAAAGTGGTTGGGCCACTTGCCTTGATTCCTCCTCTTCCCATCCTTTTCCAGTTATTTCCATCCTTCCTTATCCTTCTTCCTTCCCATCTTACGACAGCTCTCGTCGTCCTCGATTCGATTCGACTTACATCAGCTCACTAGCACACTGCTACTAGTGAGTAAAACAAAATACATAAACATTTATAAACAGGGAGGCTCCATGACACCCCCTTCTGCAGGCTACTCAACCTGCAGGCTATACAAGTACTCTCCCAAAACTTAATCAGGCCTCTGCACACTAGAGCCTTGCTGGTAAAAATGAGAGCACTTTTAACACAAATTAAATTATCTATAGTATAAATTAAAAAAAACTCACCAGCTCACCTACTCACACAACTACATTTTGCTCCATCTACTGTGCTTCACCTACTGCATAAAACGCACCTTATTCTCTTCTCTCCTGGCCACTCTGACTGACCAGGAATAATACGCGTCTGGTTTCAGAACAATCCCGTAACGATGGAGCATTTTTTATACAATATTTTTAATAAACTGCATAATGAATACACTACGTTATACAGAGCAACAGCACAAGATGAACTGCTCAACAGAAATCAGTAGAAAACATAGTCATCTGAGCAAGGGAGAGTCTTAGTGCTTCAGAGCAGAACTCTGATGTTTCCATCAATTCACAGCAGATTTATAGTCTGTCAACTACTACTAACATCATCTATATCCTGCCGTCAGTAGCAATCTCCAGGTCAGGTATATAAATGGCTGATAATATCATTGACTAATGTTCTGCAACTAGGCAGTAGACCTCGAGAAACCAATAGTTAAGTCCCTCCATCTACAAAACCAACAAATTAGTCAGAGAAACGTTACATTTTATGTTAGCTTCGTGTAAACAATATATTTGGTCTACAGTGAGTTTCATGCCCTTATTTACTAATACCGGCAACCTAATTAATTAAAAACCATGGGAGTACTAGGAGAGAGTTGTCATCGAGGTGTACATGTGAATAAATATTTCATAATCGTCGAAAGAGTTCGTTATCAGCGGATGTGAAGAACTATAATTAAATCCGATAAGTAAATTACCCAGGGGCGAGGCCTGGTTGTTGACTGGGCGCGGGGGCGTTGACCCCCAGATCATTCTCCAGGTGTACTCCCTCCAGGGACGGATCTTGGAGGGGTGCCAGCAATGTCAGAAATCGCTTACATAGACAGCATGTTGTAATAACCCACAAAAGTGTGTAATCGTTAAAAATGACATTCAATGACTTTATCGAAATAAAATCTTCACTAAATATCCTTTTGATGCCATAAACTTAATTTTATGCGCTATAAGAGATTGTTGCATGTTATAATGACGTTAAACTGGACGATATAGGTCATGAAGATTTGTTGGGTTCACGTAACGATTAACACAATATGTTAATTCCACATAATATATATTTTTTTTATTTCAGATAATAGATCATCTACGATTTCCAGGAGGAGCTGGATTTTTTGAAGCAGTAATTAATGGCTCTGATTTCAAGCAGGACAACCACCTGTCACTACTGGTCGATAATGTTAAGATGGTAAGATGTTTGTCTGTTATTTGGTTGGTACGAGATGGTTTAATTAAATCGTTGCTGCTTTAGGCAGAGAAATTCTTGTCACTCACAGTAATGCTATAGGAATTTGGTTATTCATATACCCATTACTGCTGAGGTTAGTGAAGTTCTTATGTCTGACAGCTTAGGAGATTACTGACTAAAATTTCTACACAAACAGCTGCGGAAGTTGTCATCATACACAACAATTGTAGTGATAAGTGACGAGGCAACCTTCCTCGCCGCCTTCGTCAAGTGGTCCGTCAAGGGGCGCCTCATGGTGTGGTCGACGAGGCTCCTCATCCTCACTCACTCTCGCCTCATGGAGCTGCAGGATCTCCACACAACCTTGTCCAACTTCAACTCCATGTTGGTTATTATCAACAACGACACAACAAACATCAAGTAATGTGTGTTTTATAATGTATACATACTTAAATGAAGATTGTATTTCATTAATACACACACACACACACACCAGGAGGGGTGAGAGTAATAACTAGGGTCCCACAATCTTAAGTAGTAGGGCCCTTGTTTTCCTCATTACATAAGAGATAACATTTTGTGTATTACTTATTTTTTTGATGACAATAAAATAATGAGAATAAGAAGCTCAAAGAGCATATACAGTCTGTAAGAAGACTTGGAAAAGCTGCGGAAGTTGCCATACAAGCAGGTTCTGGAAATTATATTACTCATGTTAGAGGTCATGAACGTCAAAGTGAATGAAAACCAAATCATATAAAATTGGAGGAAAGACACTACACAAAGCAAATAATGAGAAGGGTCTTACACACTTCGTTAGTTTTACCATATGGTAAGATTTTATTTCAGCTAAGATATTTAGCTGGTACTGTGTCCAAGAGATCCGTGTGAGGTTGCCGAGCATAACATTACAGTACATAAACCACACAACTTCATCACCTTGCGAGGCTATCACAGCGTACACAGCCTAACATCACAACATGTGTGCTTAGAAAATCTTAGAGTATTCTTAAGATTTCTCAAAAACATTACTTCAGTGCGATGTATACGACTGTGTCAGAAAATATTTTTAATATGTAGTTTTAACATGGATTCCTCATCCAAGAAAATGCTAACTTTATTAAATAAGTTATAAAACTGACTAAATAGAGCCTATACAACCTAAAGGTGTATTCAGCCTAACGTGGAACTATTCTCCCAAAGCAAGGAGAGAGCGAACCATGTAGCGACCAGCGAAGAGGTGGGGCCAGGAGATGAAATGCAACCACACAGAGATGAGTACAAAATACACACAAACACATATAGTAAATCAGGCAGTCACATGTGCACATATCCATGCATGTTTAACTTCCTGTTACAGGTGCAGTGTTTACGTCCAGCTGCCGTATAGTCCGCGGGGATCCCAGGTTGTGCAGGTGGCCTCCTGGACACCTCGTCGTGGCCTCCTCCTCACCTCACACCTCCAACTCTTCCCGGAAAAGTTCTTAAAGTGAGTTTCATCACCCAAAACTACGTCACTTTAACATATTGGTGGGGCTTCCGGTTTGTGAATATGGGCAGGGAAGGGATGCCATTCTCCTCACATCCTGCTTCCCTGAATAAGAACTCAGCGTCTCCTTTAGCATAAATGATAGAGACATTTCCACTTTCGTCTAAATTTTCTCAGATTCTTGACATGTACATTGAATGTGAAAAATAGATTCTGAATAGTTTTCCTTAGTGTTAGACTGTATTATATATAAAACTTAGTTTAAAGAGACACGTGAGCAAGCACTAGGAATTATTAGAACACGTTTTACTCATCGTACGAAAACGTTTTATAATATGTGATGTTTGTTCACGTGTGTATTTAAACTAGTTATACTTGCATTGTGATTCAGATTTATGTCATACGAGAGTGAACTGGTCACGGCAGTAGTAAGCTCGTAGTCACAGTGTAACTTTGTTGTATATTGTTAGAAACACAATAAGTTTAAAGCAATAAATAAGCAAAACATCGCGGTGTTTGGTAGATACAAAAGAACAACAAGTGAGTTCGAGAAAAAAAAATGCACTTATTTTTATGTTTTATACTTAAGAGTAAATGTACATTTTCTCTTCTAAATTATAGCTTTAAGAGAAACTTTTATGATTTTTTAATTGATAATAATCTAAATAATTCCCGTATAATTTTTACATTCTCTTTTATTTATTTTGTCTTTAAACAAATGAACCATACATGCTTCGAAAAGGCAATTAATGACCTGCCATGCACTCTGCCCCAGGCCCAGACTCATGGAACTCTATGTTCATCAAGCACTGCAAGAAGCCCGTCACGTGCCTTCAGCATTCTGTGGAGAGGGAGCATGGACACAGGGGTCATCCAATGCTCACTAAAAACAACAGACATAACCTCACTCTACAAAGGTGGCAGTAAAATAATTGCAAAGAACTACAGACAGATAGCACTAACATCCTTTATCATAAAAATCTTTGAAAGGGTTCTAAGAAGCAAGATCACCAACCACCTAGATACCCATTAGTTACACAACCCAGGGCAACACGGGTTTAGAGCAGGTCGCTCTTGCCTGTCCCAGCTCCTGGACCACTGTTACAAGGTCCTGGATGCTGTAGAGGATACAGTGTACACAGACTTTGCAAAAGCCTTCGACAAGTGTGACCATGGTGTAATAGCGCACAAAGTGCGTGATAAAGGAATAACTAGAAAAGTTGGTAGATGCATCTATAACTAATAAGAAACAGAACACAAAGAGTAATAGTAAAGAAAGTAAAGTCTGAGGCGGCTGTCGTGGAAAGTACAGTACTCGCCCCCATCCTATTCCTCATCCTCATATCTGACATATACAGAGATGTAAGCTATAGCTCCGTGTCTTCCTTTGCGGATGGCTCCCGAATTGCCATGATATTGTCCTCCAATGAAGACACAGCAAGACTCCTACCGGACATCAACCAAATCTTTAAATGGGCCGCAGAAAACAATATGAAGTTCAATGAAGAGAAATTTCAACTACTCAGATATGGAAAGCTTGAGGAAATTAAAACTGTATCAGGGTATAAAACAAATTCTACCCATACAATTGAGGAAAAAAATAATGTGAAGGACCTGAGAGTGATAATGTCAGAGGATCTCACTTTCAAAGACCACAACAATGTATCTACCTCATCTGCTACAAAAATGATAGGATAGATAATGAGAACCTTCAAAACTAAGGACTCCTAGCCTGTTATGATTCTCATCAAATTGCTGTTTCTCTCTAGGTTGGAATACTGCTCTACACTAACTGCCCTTTTCTAGGCAAGCAAAATTGCTGTCCTACAGAGTGTACAGAGAATTCTCACGGCACACATAAGTACGATAAAGTATCTACATTAATGGAAACGATTGAAGTCCCTTGATTTGTATTCCCTGGAATGCAGGAGAGAAAGATACATGTTAATATACACTTGAAAACTCCTAAAGGGACTAGTACCAAATTTGCTCACGAAAATCACTCCCTGTGAAAGCAGAAACCTTGGCAGGAGATGCAACATTCCCCAATGAAAAGCAGGGCCTCCACGAGTACACTGAGAGACAACACAATAAGCGTCAGGGGTCTAAGACTGTTCAACTGCCTCTCAGCATACATAAGGGGAATTACCAATAGACCCCTGGCTGTCTTCAAGAAGGCACTGGACAGGCACCTAAAGTCAGCACCTGATGTGCTGGGCTGTGGTTCTTACGTTGGTTTACATGCAGCCAGCAGTAACAGCCTGGTTGATCAGACCTTAATACACCACGAGGCCTGGTCTCAGACCTGGCCTCAGGGGCGTTGACCTCAGAAACCCTCTCCAGGTATACTCCTGGTATACTCCAGGTATACTTCAGGTATACCCCAGGTATACTCAAGATATACTCCAGGTATACTCCAAGTATACTCCAGATGTACTCCAGGTAACTCCAGGTATACTCCAGATATACTCCAGATATACTCCAGGTATACTCCAGATATACTCTAGGTATACTTCAGGTATACTCCAGTTATACTTCAGGCATACTTCAGGTCTCCAGGTATACTCCTGGTATACATCGGGTGTACTCTAGGTATACTTCAAATATACTCCACGTATACTTCAGATATACTCCAGGTGTTCTTCAGGTGTTCTTCAGGTATACTCCAGGTATACTTCAGGTATACTCCAAGTATACTTCAGGTATACTTTAGTTATACTCCAGGTATACTTCAAGTATACTCCAGGTATACTCCAGGTATACTCTCTCCCAGTCATTAGGTACTTTACCCTGTTTCATACATTTATTAAATAAACACCTCAACCATTTAAAAACTACACCCCCACCTGCTTTTAACATTTCCGTCTTGATCCTAATAATCCCAACTTTTATCCCTTTCCATTCTACCCACAGCCTCACACACCTTCCCCACACTCACACACCTTCCCCACACTCACACACCTTCCCCACACTCACACACTTTCCCCACACTCACACACCTTCCCCACACTCACACACCTACCTCACACTCACACACCTTCCCCACACTCACACAACCTTCCCCACACTCACACACCTTCCCCACACTCACACACCTTCCCCACACTCCACACACCTTCCCCACACTCACACACCTTCCCCACACTCACACACCTTCCCCACACTCACACACCTTCCCCACACTCACACACTACCTCACACTCACACACCTTCCCCACACTCACACACCTTCCCCACACTCACACACGTTCCCCACACTCACACACCTTCCCCACGCTCACACACCTTCCCCACACTCACGCACCTTCCCCACACTCACACATCTTCCCCACACTCACACACCTTCCCCCACACTCCACACACCTTCCCCCACACTCACACACCCTTCCCCACACTCACACACCTTCCCCCACACTCACACACCTTCCCCCCCACTTACACACCTCCCCCACACTCACACACCTTCCCCCACACTCCCCACACCTTCCCCACACTCACACACCTTTCCCATACTCACACACCTTCCTCCACACTCCCCACACCTTCCCCCACACTCACAACCTTCCCCACACTCACACCCTTCCCCACACTCACACACCCTTTCCCCCCACTCACACCCCCTACCTCAAACTCACACACCTTCCCCACACTCACAAAACCTTCCTCACACCAAAACCCCCTTCCCCACACTCCCACACCTTCCCCACACTCACACACCCTCCCCACACTCACACACCTACCTCACACCACACACCTTCCCCCACACTCACACACCTACCTCACAACCCCATACCTTCCCCACACTCACACACCTTCCCCACACTCACACACCTACCCACACCACACACCTTCCCCACACTCACACACCTACCTCACACCTCACACACCTTCCCCACACTCACACACCTTCCTCACACTCACACACCTTCCCACACTCACACACCTTCCCACACTCACACACCTTCCCCACACTCACACCTACCTCACACTCACACACCTTCCCCACACTCACACACCTACCTCACACTCACATACCTTCCCCACACTCACACACCTTCCCACGCTCACACACACTTCCCCACACTCACACACCTACCTCACACTCACACACCTCCCCACACTCACACACCTATCCTCACACTCACACACCTTCCCCAC